TCAGCAGGGGCGTCCGGCTTGCAAATGTGCAGGCGTGCCCTGTGATTTTCCGCCGGTGCTCTGTAAATGTGCACAATGTGCTTCTCTGTCCAGGCCTCGACATCCTGAGCAGGGGTAAAGACAGAGCAGAGACACAGTTTCCCTAGGCAGGTTGCGGGCAGCGCTTCGGTTTCATTGAAAGTATGTGACTTTTACACCATGCTCTCTAGTAGTTGAATTCCCTGTACAGCTGCTGTGCAGTTAAATACATAACAAAAGCACAGTTGTTGCTGGGATGCAGCTGCCATCACCTCTGTCCGTGCATAACTCTGCCCATGGACGTGAAGGGGTTTAGACCCCTTCTCCCCAGGATTATGTGTATCCTTGTTAGACTAATTTCAAAGTGCTTTTGTTGATTTTTTGGGGAGAGTGTCAGGAGAGGGGGTTATAATGGTGCCTCTGTGTGAAACTAGGATGCCAAAAGGGTTGGTTGGTTTGTTTGTTTATTAATGGAGTTTTAGTTGTTGAGGAATTCAGGTCTGCTTTGCCCGAGGAAATGGCACCTGGCTGCATCGGCACGTTAGTTGTAGTTCTGTGTATGGTGGGAACAGGTATTTCCCCTTGTCTTTCTCTGCATCAGTATTTAGACCTTTTCAGGAGACAAAAGAAAATAAGAAATGGAGATTCTAAGGATGAAGTGGCAATTTTTAGTTTGTTATAAGTAAATAGTTAAGTTGAAAACTGTAGAATCTTTGGGGTTTTTTTATTAAATAATTTTTGTTTCTTCTTAGTTGTAAAGCAGACAAACAGAAGTCTGGAAAATAATTTGTCTATTCAGGTATGAGTCTGTGCTAGAGGTCTAAGTTACTATTCGGCATTTCAGAATAATTCAGTCCAAATAGAACGCTATTAATTTTTTTTTTAAAGGAACATAGGAATATTTTGCATGCTGAACGGATAACTTTTTTTTTTTAACTACAGATGCAGACAGAGAGAGGGAATAGTTTCATTAAGAAGGTTGTTCTTTTATTTTCATGGGGAATTTCTGTTTCCTGAACCATTGCAAAACAAATACGAAAATACTTTTCTTGCAGAAAACTTGTGAAAAATGGATTTGGGTCAGTCTGTTTTCTAGGGCCAATGTTATGTTTCTCAGTAGATACTCTCTTTCCAGCTTCAGGGTTCCATTTAGTGTAAATCTTTCTTCAGCTCCTCAGGCTAATGGGCCTCGAATGAAAAGTCGTACTGTGGCCTTTTCTGTCCTGTTGAAAAGTGTTGGAAGTTATTCAGTAGGAG